CGGGGGGGGAGGGACAGCCGGCAGGCGGGGAGGGACAGCGGGCAGGCGGGCAGGCAGACAGGCGCGGAGGGACAGCCGGCAGGCGGGGAGGGACAGCGGGCAGGCGGGCAGGCAGACAGGCGCGGAGGGACAGCCGGCAGGCGGGGAGGGACAGCCGGCAGGCGGGGAGGGACAGTGGGCAGGCGGGCAGGCAGACAGGTGCGGAGGGACAGCGGCCCGCTGGTGCCGCGCGGTGTCGGTGTAGTGAGCCACCCTTGTGCTCTTCAGGGCTCGAGGAGGTGGTGCGTGAGGAGCCGGCGCCGGACGCCCTGAGCGGAGCCAGCAGCGAGGTCCTGGATGTGATATCCAGTGAGGAGCTCGAGGCCACCAGTGACGAGGAGCCAAGTGACCCGGGGGGTAGCTGGGGCCAGGGCGAGCTCAGCGAGGAGCTGGAGTTCGTGTCTAGCGAGGACGAGGCCAGCCTAGGGGACACTGAGGACCTCAGCGAGGAGTGTGAGGAGCTGCTGAGTGAGGACAGCGGCCCCGAGCCCGAGCCGCTGCTCGGGGAGTGGGTCTGGAATAAAACGGTTTTGTTTCAGTGCCTGCCGAGTCTTCGCTTAGGGACCCCGCGCCGTTGTGGGATGGCCGAAGAGGCCGGGGTGGGGGTCTGGAGCACCGGAGTGGCCGTCTGACAGAGTGTCCTTCCCAGAAGCCAGTGCTCCAGGGCCCGTGCCCATGTCGGGGGCAGTGGCCGGAGCCAGAGGTGGACCCCAGGTCTGGGGGCTGGAGGCCCCGGGCAGGGCCCGGCAGCACTGTGACAGGTGTTTCCGGCCTCTGCCGCTACTTGTGGCCTCGGTCTCACGTCGTGTCCTCTGTTCAGATGCCCCCTTTCTGTGATGCCAGTGATAGCGGGTCAGGGCCACCTCGATGACCTCTTTCCACGTCTGGCCACGCGCCCTGCCCTGGAGGTCTGGAATTCATCGTCACGTGCGGGGCCACAGTTCGGCCTGCTGGTGTCTTCCTCACAGAGTCGCTGTGTGCGTCAGAAGCTGCACGTTGTGGAAGGGGACAGATCAGACTTGCTGAGAAAATCGGGCTGCGTGGGGGCCGTGGGGTGGCAGCTTGGCCGTCAGGAAGTCCCCGCCGGGCTTGGACCTGAGCGGTTCCCATGTGGCTTCAGGGCCTGCGTGTGTTGCTCGCGGGACGTGGCGGAGGGCAAGGGTGACGCAGGCCACGTGGAAACCGCCGTCACACTGGTTTCCCGCTGAAGTCCTTCCACGTTTCTACAAAGCCCACGGTCCTGACTGAGGGAGGTGCATGGACTGTCGCCTCCGGCTGGCCTCTCCCCTCGTCTCTCACGGTGGGAGGTTAGCACTCCCGTGAGACTGCCCTGGGAGACACGGAGCACGGTCCCTGCCGGGTAGGCGCCCTGCTGTTGGGGTGCACGGTCCTCTTTCATGCACCACAATGTGGGCAGACGAGGGTGCTCGGCTGGCAGCCTCGCCGCTCTCAGTCGTTGCTGTGTGTGGACTCAGTGATTGCAAGACATCTGTTCCCTTGACCCCCCCAAAAAAAAGAAAGGGCCACTCAGCCCCAGCCTCGGGTGGGGCCGTGGGAGAGGCGTGCTGGCCACCCTGCAGCAGGTGGGCCCGTCGGCATGTCCTGAGTGCCGCGGGGTTCGCCCCGCGACGGAGGGAGCTGGTTCCTTCCGGAAGTGGGAGGTGGTCGCGGCTGCAGGTGCGGGGCGAGGGCAGGCACATGCCTCGTAGGTGGCAGGTAGCTCAGCAGGCGGAACAGCGTGGTAAGGCAGGTGTGACGGCAGGAAGGACACCCAGGAAGACAAGGTGCTCTGTTCTTAACAGATCCCTCCCGTGAGGTCGTTCCTGTGGGAACGAGGAGGACTTGCGGCGTGGGAACTAGGAGTTGGGACCAGTGCGTGCATCTGTCCTTGACTTAACTAGATTTTTGCAACTCTTAGAAGATATGTTGGTGCACCAGACCTAGGCTGTAACTAGAAATTACATTTTATAACAATAATCGTGTAGGAGTTGAAAAGTACCACCTGCAAGTGCACTTGTTTGGCGGGTGGTCCCACCTGCCCTCTGTCGATTGCCAGGTGTCTTCTGGGCGGTGGGGACGTGGGGACGGTGCCCAGCCGCAGTTCAGGGTGGCTGGGTTGCGTCCTCAGTGTGGTGCCGTTTGTTTCAGATGCCTCCAAATACGTTTTCTCCCTCAGAATATGTAAGAAACAGCGTATTCGAAGCTTGCGTTGTAGGGAAGGGGGGGTGTTCTAGTTTCAGTTTCCGGTTTTGGGGTGGACTGGGAGGTGGCGAGTGTGTGCGGGTCAGGTGTCTCTCGGAGGATGGCTGTGTAGTTTAGCTTTGAAACTCTAGTGTGGGGGAAATATTTTCCTCTGTTTGAGGTGCCCATGATGCTTTTTAGATTTTTTTTGTCCTTTTTCGTGCCAGTTTTCCTGTATGCCTGGGGCGGTTCCTGAGTATGAGGCCACGAGGCCTGAAGCCGTGGGCAGGCCCGTCCTTGCCGGGCGCTGTGCTTACCGAGCGTCCACGTCGGGCCGGTGGGCGAGAGGGGCATCCATTATGGCTGTGGTTTTGCTCATGTGCTGGCGCTGGGCGTTTAATTTGAGTTGGTTTCTCTTCATTGCCATATCGAAGCTTGCTGAAGTCATCTATAGTTTTAAATGTCTCGCACGTGTTTTTAAGGCTTTTGGCACGCACGGACGTGTGCATGCAGACGTCGCCTTTTGTGCTGTTTTCACACTTGCAGCTCAGTGTTTTTTGGAAGTTGGATGTTGTTACTTAGGTTGTCGGTTAGTTTAGTGCAGCCTGGGCTGGCGGGGGTTCTGTGTACCTGGGTGGGGAGAAAAAGGCTTGGTGACGTGTTTGGTTATGTTCACGTCTTGTTAAATTTTACTTCTAAAATATAAGTGTCAAGTTTATCCTTTCGGTCTCCAAAGTAGCACAAAGTACATACTCAAGAACTTGGAAAAAGTGGGGAGGGATCAGCATGGGTCCTGCAACTGGCTGAAAGCTGCCGTTAAGGTGCTCCAGAGGTTATGGTCGTGAAGTGTTATTCACGTTCCTTCCTGTCTCCCGAAGCCGAGACCTCGTGACCCTGTGAAAACAGCACTCGCCACACGCCGCTTGCTTCTCTCCTCGGCCGGAAAGTTGTGATTTTCCATTTTCACTATAAACAATGCTTCGCACTCGTAGTGTAGGAAGTTATTTCCATTTTTGAGATGAGCTGATATTCCTGAAGTAGAATTGTGGGGTTTGAATGGTTTTTAAAAATTGAATATAGTTTTGGGGCTGAAGATTTTAAAAGCTCATGATACATAATCCCAAATTGCTTTCTAAGAGGGCAAAACCCAGTAGTAGCCGGTGATGGGAAGCTCCCAGTAAGGGTTCTGGCCTGGGCAGAGCGTAACTTACAGGAAGGATTGTGTTCTCAGTGTCGCCTTGGCTTTTTAAGTGGGACTTTTAACCTGTAGGGCTAACTTTTGTGACTTTTAATACTTGAAGTCATATGTTAAAATTCAATGAATACCTGAATTACGGAAAGTTTTATTTAGGCTACATAATATTAACAGGAAAATAGGCAAGATAGATTTTTAAAAATTCAAGGCAACATGACTGGAAAGCCACTGGCGTGACCCTCAACGTGCTTCTGAACCATGTTTTAAAGTAGCTTATGAAGAAGGCGATTGCAAGATTATGGATGACTTAATTCAGCACAGGGTCGTAAGCAGATTAAAAACACTCCTTCAATCAGGGTGTCACAGGGACACTGGCTCAGTCACACCCAGAGCCCTGCAGACAATGATAGATTTAGTTGCCGTGTGACCCTAAAGGCGTCAAAACTACTCATCTTAATAGTGGTTACACGGGACGTTGCGGGAGACACAGTGTGATCCAGCCATGCAGCCTGGCTTAGGGAGTCACGTGCAGCAGCGTAGCATCGTCGAAGGCTGGCTGCGTGGAGTCCCTGTAGAGGTCACGGAGGAGGAGTCGGGAGGCGCTGCACGGCCCGGGTGGTCGATGTGGGCGTGTCAGGTCTGACCTGTGGGACATGTGATGGGCAGCGTGTGGCCGTGGTGGCAGCCAGGGAAACGGCGACGTACTGGATGGAGTGCTTGGATTTTATTGGAAAAGGTCGAAGTCTGGAGAAATCCACGCGTCAGAAAGATGTTATTCTTTTACATAAAGTTCTTTTTCCTTCTGTTCACACTTGGAAATATTACACTATTGGGACTTGTGAGCCCCATTTACAAAGTAGCTTATACACGAGTTTCTTAAAGTTTGTTAAAGGGTGGCGTTTACTGTGGAATGTGGGACTGGGTTGCAGAATCATCAGTGAAATGCCGTGGTTACCTTTTTGCCAGCAGCAGCCGTGCTCGTCTGTGACCCTGTGTGTCCCGTTTCCCGCCTGGGGCTGATTCCTTGGGATCACGTGTTCCTTTCTCTTTTCTCCGGCACTTTCTCTTTTCTGGAGCTTTGAACAGGCCCCCAGTGAGCAGAGTTTCTAAACGTTCTTCCTCCATGTTTTCCTCGCTGAGCCTCAGGTAGCGCTGACGAGCAGGTTTTCGCTGAGGGCAGCTCTCCGAGCGGGCGCGTGCCGCCTCTCTGGCCTGCCCGCGTCGTCCTGAGCCTGGCTGCCGAGCCTGGCTGCCGGGCCGGCCGAGGCAGCCGGTCACTCCTGGAGGCCAGCAGCACAGGCACTTATTTGC